TTTATCTTTAAATGGACAGATTAGGTAAAATCTAAAGGATTTTGAATTTTACTCATTTAAAACTGATATATAAAACCTTAAATTACACTATTCATCGGGTGCTTAATTATTTTATGTCTGTGGGTGTTTTCCCTTCATGTATGTTTGTGTGCCATTTGCATACCAGGTACCCAGGGATGCCAGAGAGGGCACTGGATAGCCTAAAACTAGAGTTACAGATGGTTATGAGCCGCCATGTGGGTGCTGAGAATAGAACCTGGGTCCTCTGGAAGAGCAGCCGGTGCTCTTAACCACTGAGCCATCTCCAGTCCATGATATACACACATACAAACATACATACAAACATACATACATACATACATACATTGTTTAAATCTGCCTAAACACAACTATCTCCTCAAATATTCACCATTTCTTTATAATAAACATTGAAAGTCCCACTTCTGGCTTTGCAAAAGGTGCAGTATATCAGCTACACTCAGCACACTGTGACGAGCACACCAAAACCGCTAACTCCTAACTTTCACGCAATACCCACTAAGCAGCTTCTCCCTGGTCCCTCTCTCTCTCTCTTCTTTGCCCTATAGATGCTGTGTGTCATAGAAAATGGCCTATTTGTGGCTCTGGCTGGCCAGGAACTCACTACATAGCTCATGTTGGCTCAGGGCTCCCAGTATAGTCAGTTCCCTTCCACTATCCCTCCTGAATACTGGGATAGAATACAAATTTTATATATATATAGTTTGTTTGGTTTTGTTGAGACAGGGTTTCTGTGTGTATCCTGGCTGTCCTGGAACTCTGTGTAGACCAGGCTGGCCTCGAACTCACAGATCCAAGTGTCTAAACATTGGGATTAAACAAAACAAAAAATCTGCCGTATTACTCCTACAGTCCTCTGCCGCTTAATAATGGGACACGTTCTGAAACATGTTGTTAGGCAAATTCTTGTGCAAATATCATAGCACACATCCATAATAAAGGGCTAAGTGGATGGCTAGATGATGTCATCTTGTGGAAACACTGTTGTGTATGCGTCCCATTGTTGGACAATCTACTACCAAACAAAGCTTCACTTACTGCCCACTGTGAGGCTTTGTTGTTGCTGCTGGGTTTAGGGGATATGCTCATGTGCATGTATGTGTGCATGTGCGCATGTGCGGAGGCCAGAGGCCCACCAGGTATTGCTCCTCAGGAGTGCTCCACCTTAGTTTGTGTTTTGAGTCTGGGTCTCACTATGTCATTCTGGCTGTCCTGGAACTTGTCATACAGACCAGGTTGGCCTTGAACTCAGAGTTCTGCTCTGCTTACCAAGTGCTAGGATTATAGTTGTGTGCACCACACCTAGCTTCCACCTTAGTTTCTGAGATAGAATCTCCTGCCTGGGCCTGCGGCTCACTGTGTAGTCTAGGCTGGCTAGTCGGTGAGCTCCAAGGATGTGCTCATCTCTGCCTCCTCTGCCCTGGGATTGCAAACATGTACCGCCATGATTAGGATGATAAACATGCATGACCAGCTTTTCCGAGGGTGGAAACTGAAGCCAGGTCCTTATGCTTGCTAGATATTTCCCACACTGAGCTATCTCCCCAGCCCCCTCCTTTGTTTCTGAGACAAGGTCTCAATTCCTTGGCTCAGGCTGGCCTTGAACTCATGACATCCTCACACCTCAGCCTCCCAGATACACTGGGATGAAAAGCATAAGCCTTCTTGGAAAAGGCTGTCGACTGTAACCTGCCGTCTCAACACCACGTCAACAGTTGGTGCTGCCCACGGTTTGTGTTGTCTTTTCTTGGGTTTGTCTTAGCTTTGCTCTCAGAGGATGACAGGGTGTGCGGTCTCTCCTGCCTGCACGCCTGTCCCTGCGCTGGACAGCCCACTGTTCGGCACACCCACGGAGTCCCTGGGCCACGTTGATTCTGGCTCTGAGGAGTTTTTATTTCACCATACAGACCTTGAACTGCCTTCAAAACTGTTTTAACTCGGTGTGCCCCTCAATGAGAAGGTGCTGGGGATAAAGTCAACGTCCCTTTAGTAGAGGGAAATGAGAAACGGGCAGAAATAAGGTCTGAGAGGAACTGCAAACAATTCTTACTGTCGTCTAAAAGCAACAACCTCAAGGATACCTCTAAAAGACCCAGCAAGAGGTGACGGTGCAAGTCGGCATCTAAAGAGACGTCCCTACTGTCTCTCACCATCACTGTCAAGTGACCACGGGGAACTGGGAATACAGAATGCGGTGGTTTGAGAGAAAATGGCCCCCAGAGGGAGTGGCCCTATCAGGAGGTGTGGCCTTGTTGGAGGAAGTGTGTCACTGTGGGAGAGAGCTTTGACGTCTTCTATGCTCAAACTGTGCCCAGTGTCACAGTTCACTTCCTGTTGCCTTTGATGAAGGTAGGACCCTCAGCTCCTTCTCCAGCACCTTGTCTGCCTGCACGCCACCATGGCCCACCACGATGATAATGGACCGAACCTCTGAAACCGTAAGCCGCCCATTCAATGTTTTTCTTTATAGGAGTTGCCGTGGTCAGGGCGTCTCTTCACAGCAATAGAACAGTAAGACATAAGGGGTTGGGAAAATAAACTCAAGCTGGTGGTGTGAACTTTCAAAGGCTATTTTGACCGCAGCAGTTCATTCCACAGAAGCCTGTTTCTACGCTCACCTTTAGGACTTGGCACACAAAGGGACTCCAGAGTCGAGCACTCGCCTCGGCCTTGGCTTGGCTCCAACTCTGGTTCACAGGAGAAAGCACACATAGGAGAAAGCACATGACGCAGCCTCCAGCACTGGCTTTGCCAGCACAGCTGACCTGCAGCTGAGTAAGCAGATACATGTGCACTCACACACCTTTCTTGTCACGTGTACACACATATGCACACACACAACCCTACACTTCTTTGTTTGGGTTTTGAAAACAGGGTCGTCTTGTAACTCCAGCTGACCTGGAACTCGCTGTGTAGACCAGGCTGGCCTCAAACTCGCAGTCAACAGCCAGCCCCTGCTTCTCCGATGCTGGGCTTAGAGTTAATTGTCAACTGCCATGCCTAATTGCTTGTTTTTCTTCTGTGGTGCTGAGGATTGCTTCTTGGGCTGGAGAGGTGGCTCAATGGTTAGAGCAAGAACTGCTCTTCCAGAGGAACTATTTAGTACTAGTACCCATCCATATCCAGCAGCTCACAAACACAGCTCTAGGGGAGCTGACATTCTCTTCTGGCCTCCACAGACACCCACACTCATGTGCACACTCACATACATACAAGTCATAATTAAAAGAAGAAAAAAAAACCCCAGGTGTGGTGGTGCACATGGAGGCAAGTGAACCTCAGAACAAGTAAATTCTTTTGAAGACAGAGGGGGTGGGGCAGACACTACCCCTCCTTTGCTAAGGACTGACCTGAGGACCTAAAGCTGCTGTTCTTGGAGACAGGTGACACCACTAGGAAGCAGCAGTGTCTTCATTTTCCCAGATAGACGGGGCTGGTCTTCAGGGCTGCTTTACTCTTCCGTCTACACACACCCAGTTCCTCAAGTGCCTGTCACCTGACATGCCAGCTCTGAACTCTACCCTTCTCAGATCTACCCCGTGAAGTTCCTTTGTGGGTGGGAATGCAGCCCTAGCACAACATCCAAAGCCCTGGGTTAGCTTTAATCCCTGCACTCGGGAGGCAGAGGCAGGTGGATCTCTGTGAGTTCAAGGACAACCTGGTCTACAGAGTGAGTTCCAGGAAAGGCGCCAAAGCTACACAGAGAAACCCTGTCTCAAAAAAACAAAACAAAACAAAAAAAAAAAGAAAAAAAGAAAAATCCCTGGGTTAAAATAATAAGACAGCACAGGACTGCACCAGTGATCACATAATCACTTTCAAAGAACTATTTCAAACCATGAATCTAGCTTGTCTTTTGAGATGGGGTCTCACTGTGCAGCCCTAGCTGGTCTCAAATTCACAGGCATCTGCCTGCGTCTGCCTCCCTAGCGGTGGAATCAAAGCCATGCATAGCCAATCCAATCCAGGTAAACCTTCTAATTAGTAAGATGTCTAGCAAAACAGTAAAACTAAAGATCAAGCTCCACATGTGTACTGGGATACAGCACACACTCCCAGGGATTCACACTGAAGTAGTGTGCATACAGCTCGTCACTTCCGCTTTCCAGGGCTTTTGCCCAGTATCATGGGAGAGACAGGGGCCATCTGCCAGAGCTGGTAAGCTCTTGGGTCTCAATCCACAACCTGTTACTTACTAACCTGCCTTCCCTACCCTCCACTTTCTCAACAACACATGGTGCCTTTCCCTACTTCAGCAATGTACGGCTTTGCTCAGCCCCTACTCTAATAAGGACCAGGTCAACCATGAAGAGTGGACCCCAGTGGCACCATGTTGTCTCTGAGGACAAAGTGGTCACTGATTGGCATCTTCTACAAGGCAGTCACTTCCTAAGAATACACCATACTACGACCAGCAGAATTTCCAGTCCCTAACACACCGGTCTCCTTCTTTGTTCGGGGGCAGCCGGATCACTCATCAATGTGGTAAGCCCTCTCTTGGGAAAATCCCTCCCCCACTTAAGCTCTGCCCATGCACTCACACTCCGACTCCACCTCACTTCTCCTATCACCCAAGTTACTGGATCCAGTACCACCTGGTCCACAGGTGTGGTGGCCACTCACACTCACGCAAAATCAAAGACAAGAATTCAGGGAGAGGGCTATCACACAAGGCAAAGATACACTAGGACCCAATGGCACAGGTCAAAAAGCCTGTTTTAAACTTGTGATGTGTTATTGTTTATAAGCAATAATCTGGGCCAGCGGGATGGCTCAGTGGATAAAGGCACTTACCTACCATGTAGTGACTGAGTTCAAGCCCCACAGGTGATAAGTTCAAGCCCCACCACAGGGGACTCCACGGTTGTCTTCTGACCACACCCATACTGTAACACACATTTGAGGACACACACACATCAATTAAAATGGAAAAGTTGGGGTGAATATGATCCAAACACATACAAATTTCAAATTCTTTAAAAATTTAAGTAATAAGTTATGTTACAGAAATATACAATACGCTGGGTATGGTGGCACAAGCCTATAACTGCAGCACTTGGGAGGCTGAGGCTAGCCTGGGCTACAGTGAGAGATCCTGCCACACCCTCACCCCTTCAAAAACCTCCAAAAAACCAACAAATTCCTACGAGAAAACTGGAGAGACTCAAACTAACGATTCTCTTTAGTAAACGACCACAGACGTGGTCCCTGCCAGTTAGGTGCACTAGTTTCTCTTCATTCTCTTTGATTTCTTCCTCTGGTCTTCTGTGTCCATCTCTGCAGGTCGTTTTTTCAACCCCTTCATTTTCCTGGTCTGCAGTTTGCTTAGGTCTTGCTTCTGCATATGAATCCTTCCAAAAGTTGTACCAAAAGTATCCTGAGAGACATTCTTTCTCTTCTTTGGCTATAAAATAAGAGAAAAGTATGTGGGTATATACATATGTAACTTTTTAGTGGCCTGGTAGAAATCTAGCACACCACACAAATCTAACACTTCCCACTGTGAAGATTCTCAATGACACAGCTTTACACACCTTTCTTCTCGAGGAATCATAGACTTCTTTAAAATGCACATTCTCATTCAGAGCCAGCCACTAGCCCCTCCCCCTTGTCCTACAATGCTGCCATCTGGTAAAATGTCAGGTCATCTGGCAAGAATCAAGATACACTGACCACTGTCATGTATCAAGACGGTTTTTTCGGGCTTAGCCTCAGAAGACTGAGTTCTCAGTTCAATCTCTGATAGCATTCCAGAGTTAGGATGTCTACTTGGTGCTTACATTTCTTTTCTTTTATTATTATTTGCGAGCGAGCGCGCGCGCGCGCGCGCGCGCGCGTGTGTGTGTGTGTGTGTGTGTGTGTGTGTGTGTGTGTGTGTGTGTGTGTGCAGGAGTCCATGGAGGCCACAGAGGAAGTTACAGGTGGTGTGAGCACTAACATGATGGATGCTGGGACTCAAAGCCTGGTCCTCTGCAATGGGAGCAAGTACTCTTAAACCACTGAGCCATCTTTCTGGCACATCTAGTTGTTTGTGAAACAATCTAAAAGTCAAAACAAAGCTGGGCCTGTAGTGCACGCTTGTAATCCAGCACTTGAGGATCTGAGACAGAAGAATCCTGAGTTCAAGGGCACACTAGGCTACAAGTCAATACACATTTAACATATATATCGTTCTAGAAACACAGCTGTAACACAGTCTTCATGATGCCCACACGGTTCTGGTTTTGCTGGAAATGGCAGACAGCCAAACCAGACTCCTGACTTCTTCAGCTCTTTATTACTTTTATGTCTGGAGAGGTTCTTTTCTCCTTCTTCTGACTCTGAGCCTAACTTACCTATTTTATTCATTTTTTCATACATCTTTTTATGACCACAAATCCTTCCTGGCAAAAGTGGAATACAGAAATCAACACAGTACCATATCACAGGTTATGTACCTTGAGAGCTTTGGGCACTTTCATGGACAATTTATAGAGGTCATCTGATGCTAAGTGTGTCCTCCTGAGAACCAGGTCCATCGACGGTCCCATCTCTTCCAGTTCAATCCGTGGGGTTCTGCAACCAGACTTCTTCAACAGCAGCCTTTAGGAATAGGGGAAATGCTGCTTAGTTTATTTTTTAAAGTCCTCCTCTGAAATAACTTTTTTTAAAGGGTTTTGTAGTTTCAAATAGCGACAGTTATAATTGCAAAAGCCAAGCCTCTTCTTAGACACTTTAGGCATCCATACCAAGTGCATCCTTTGGTTAGTTTTTAAAAATCAGAAATGAAATGGCACAGTAATGCTGGGAAATGACAAGTATAAAAATTATTTTCAGATAATTCAGTGGTAGAGCACATGAACGTTTGCATAAGGCCCTAGGTTTGACACCTAGTACCAAAATAGTAATTCTAACCGGACTTTAGAAACAGTATGTTTGATGGGGCTTAGTGGTGCACACCTTTAATCCCAGCCCTTGGGAGGCAGAAGTGGGTGGGTCTCTGAGTTCGAGGCCAGTCTGGTCTACAGAGTGAGTTCTAGCACAGCTAGGGCTACATAGTGAGACCCTGTCTCAGAAAAAAAAAAAAAAAAAAAAAAAAGAAAGGAAGGAAGGAAGGAAGGAAGGAAGGAAGGAAGAAAAAGAAACGGTTTGTTGAAAGGATTAACAAATTCTTATCTCCAACATTATATGAGTTAAGTCAACCCATTCAAAATCAACTTTTCCCTACAGCACATTAATGACTTCTGTAGCATGTAGTAAATCTAAAAATCCTAATAAAACAAAATTACAACTTCTTCAACATTCTATGTCCAAATAACTCCAGAACTAGAAATATCTGGGCAATAGGAGAGAAAGGAAGAGTGAGGAGCCGGTGAACAGACAAGAGGAGCCTTAAATTATTCTGTTATCAGTAACACAAAGTAATGGGATTCACTGTCTTATGCATTCCTGGTGGGCACCCACTTCCCAGTCATTAATAATCTCTCTTTTACTCTCAAGTCCACAACCGGCCTCACCTCCAATTGTTTTATGAGTCCTATCCTAAGAAGAGCTGAAAGACCCGAAGAATAGCCAAGTGTCATCCTAGCACTTGGGAAATGGAGGCCTGAGGACCAGTTAAAGGCCATTCTCTGCTACACAGTGACTTTACTCTGGGCTAAGTGAAAACTGTCTCAATAAAACAACAATTAAAAACAAAATACCACCAACCCAAAATCTGAACATCATATTTGGCAATCACATTTGATAGAGCAGTTATGTTCCCACAGGTAAAAATATGTGGGGGAAGGGGCGGCAGGGAGGTATTAACTGACTAGTGTTGCACACAAAGCTGTCACAGAGGCAAGAGACAACACAGGAATGAGAAGGAACAGAACAATTAAGGAAGGCTCCAGAGAGCGACAGCAGGCAGCTGGTGTGTGTGTGCCAGTGCCTACAGCAGGAGCTCTCAGCCCTGAGTACACTTGCAGATAGCCAACCAAGGCAGTGCACTCTCGGGAGCAGTTGCTGGTCACAGCAAGACTCACAGGAGCAGACATGTATCAAGCAATCCCCTGCACTCAATTCAATGAGACATAAAGAGCAGAGGGTTCAACAACAAAGCGCTATAGAAACACAGAAAGATAAAATGAGTCAGGTACGGTAGCACACACCTTTAATCCAGCACTCAGGAAGCACAGGCAGGTAGATCTGGGTTCAAGGCCAGCCTGGCCAACAGAGTTCCAAGACAACCAGGGCTATACAGAGAAACCTTGTCTCACCCCTCCCTGGAAAAAAAGAGCAAATGGATGCTAGGCATAGTGACATGCGCCTGCCATCCCATCCCTAGGAAGGTAAGATAAGGCTGAAGCTTGAGGCCAGCCTGGGCTACAAAGCAAGGGTGTGTCAAAACAAATGAAGTATGAATTAAGCTACAGTGCCACTCGGTGCAAACAATCTCTCTCCCTCATACTAGCTGACACTATGCTGTTTTCATTGTGTAATCTCCCTTACTGGAAGGCTGTGTTTGCTTTTTAAGGTAAACTTAACACTTCCTGTTTGGCATATTTCTCTGCATACAGTCTAACCAATACTCCAGCACAGGTGTATGTGGCATTTGGGACTCTTTATCAGGCTGGTCCTGGGAGTCTGTCTCTGTAATTCTCGGTACTTGGGAAACTGAATGAAGCAGGAGGATCACTACAAGTTCAAGTACAGCATAGTCAGAGGGACACTGTATCTTAAAAAACAAAACAAAATTGCATTGCTTTAGTGGTTCTGCCCATAAGCTGAACAAAATTGGCAAAGGAAAGCAAATGACGCTCACCCGCGGCAATAAATGACTACAGATGTACAGGAAGAAGCCAGTAACAGTAGGACCGACCGTAACCAGAAAGCCATCACACAGGTCGTAGTAACACCATTTCACATTCCAGCTGGGCATGGTAGCCATTGTCTGTGATCACAACAGTCAGGAGGCAGAGGCAAGGAAGATCACAATTTGAGGCCAGCCTGGGCTACCTACTGAGTACTAGAGTACACTGGCAAACCACACTGAGAGCCTGTGTCAGAAACAACCCAAACATCTGCTAACTCATGGGCAGAGCTGCCTTCATTCATTAAGGCACAGTGCGAACACTAACAGCTACGACACTTGGCACTGAGGCAGCAGGGACCCAGCAGCACAGCCACAAGACATCCTCTAACTTCAGGACTTGAGATGGAAGTCAGAGGTCAGAAATTTAAACCCAGATGGGCTATGCAGAAAGTTCAAAGCTAGTCTGGGCCACAAGAAACTTTGTTCCCAAAATGAAAAATGAAGTTTATACTAGGGTCCTGATTTTAAAATTAAAACTTTGTACTATGAATGACTGCCAGGCTGAATCTAAAAGTGGCTTCAGCAACCTGGTAGACTGACCTGCCTCTACCTCCCAAATGCTGGATTAAAGGTGTGCTGCCATGACGTATGGCGTGCCCTTGCTCTTAAGTCCGAGGCATGTACATGTGTGCAAGAGCACATGCGTGTGCACGTGGAGGAGGCCAGAGGTCAGCCAACCCTCTGCTGTTATCACAGTGGAAGTGAGAGAACAGTGGCTGAGGCCATGAGGAAAGCAGCTGCTCAGGGGGACTGCTCCCACCCAGCATGTCCCTCAAGAAACCTCCATACCTCTGGGGCACAGAAGGACTGACTGACAAGAAGAGGTGAACACTTCAGGTTCATCTGGACGCTCTGGTTTTTTAAAGGAGTAAAAGGGATGCTAACCCTAACCCTGAGTAATTGTAGCATGTTGGTATCTCATCAGTGAAAAAGGAATCTGGCTGCGAGTGGTGGTCCTGGCCTGTAATGCCGGCACTTAAGAAGTCGAGGCAGGAGGACTCCAAGTCTGAGGCCTCCCTGGGCTGCACAATGAGTTCAAGGCTAGCCTGAAGTTACATCAACAGATATTGTTTGCAAAACTCAAACCAAACAACAAAACAACCTGTTGCTGGGATCTAAACTCATATTATATGGTGCAAACCTAGGCTAGAGGGGAAATCAGTGGTCAGTCACTGGTCCTTTCCCTGCTTTATGCTGCAGCTTTCAAATCTAGAATTTTGAAAACTGCTTTGTCTGGCTTGACTGTGACCTGTTCTAAATCTAGTCAAGAACAATAATGAGACAGCACAGAAATCTAGGAAGGGGGTTTACTACATACACCAGGCTCGTGATAGATGATCAGGGTCTCAGATAGGGCCAGGGCACAGCTCCTGCCACTACTATCTGCAAATTCTCCAGGCCCACTGGGCAGGAACCAACTTTGAGTTAGAATAAAACGTTACCCCTGAGGATTCTGAAAAACACCTGGAAATGTACTTACTTATAGCTCCGAAAGTAAACCTTCCCGTTCAGTGCAGTGAAGTGCAGAACATATTCTAACCCAGCCAGTCGGACATTTGATACTGTGGGACCTCTGAAGAAATCTGAAAGCACATATTCAGTTGTTAAGAAAGAAAACTATAGCTGGGCAGTGGTGGCACACGCCTTTAATCCCAGCACTCGAGAAGTAAAGACAGGTGGATCTCTGTGAGTTCAAGGCCAGCCTGGTCTACAGAGCAAGTTCCAGGCCAGCCAGGGATATACAGAAAAACCCTATTGGGTCCTGATATTGCTTGCAATCCATGGAGTCTGCTTAAAGGGCAAAGGAATTTATTAGAGAACGGGCATGTAGTTCAAGGTCATAGGCAGGTGTAACAGTTACCTGCTACCTCACTAGGGGCAGTGCTTCAAGGTCATAGCTAGAACAGCTACCCACTACAAAACCCCGTCTTAAGAAGGAAGGAAGGAAGGAAGGAAGGAAGGAAGGAAGGAAGGAAGGAAGGAAGGAAGGAAGGAAGGAAGGAAGGAAGCTACAAAACCCCGTCTTAAGAAAGAAGGAAGGAAGGAAGGAAGGAAGCAAGCAAGCAAGCAAGCAAGCAAGCAAGCAAGCAATTTCAAAATTCAGTTACAGGGGCTGGAGAGATGGCTCAGCATTGGCTGTTCCTCCAGAGGACCCAGGTTCAGTTCCCAGCAACCGCATGGCAGTTCACAACTGTCTGTTTCAGGGGATCTGACACTCTCACACAAACATACATGCAGGCAAAATGTCAACACACATAAAATAAAAATAAGCCAGGCAGTGGTCACACACACCTTTAATCCCAGCACTTGGGAAGCAGAGCCAGGTGGATCTCTTGAGTTCGAGGCCAGCCTGGTCTACAGAGTAAGATCCAGGACAAGCACCAAAACTACACAGAGAAACTCTGTCTCAAAAAACCAACCAAACAAACAAACAAATAAACCATAAAAAAGAATTTCAGTTACAAAGTGTTAACTTGTGTGTGTTCCCGCACACGCACATGAGCAGGGATGTGTGGGGACATGAGCAGATGATCACTGAGGCCAGAGGTCAATCCCCAGTGTTGTTCCCCAGGAGCAGATTTCCCTGGAGTAGACCTTGGGAACTAGGCTGGCCGGCAGCGAGCCCCAGAGTGTGCCTGTCTCTCCCTCTGCAGCACTGTGACTATACCCAAACTCAAGCACGTAACTGGCCCCTGCACTGGCCCCAGTCCTACTTCGGTTTGTTTTGAGACGTGTTAACAGTAACGTTAGTCTGGCCTCAAACTTCTCACTAGGAGGATGACTGAACTCTCTGAACCTGACTCCACCTCCTGAGTGCCGAATGCATGCACCAAAATACATCTCCTCTTTGTTATATCATCTTCAAATAGTAGGAACAGTAACATAAAAAAACAGCCATAAAAATCAGGACAGACAGAACCTAAACATTGCTATTGTTTACTGGGTTTCCTGTGAAGAAATGCAGTCCTTGGTAGGTAAGATGGCTCAGTGAGTAGGTGTGCTTGTTATGCAAGCCTGGAGATCCAAGTTCAATCCCCAGCACCCATGTAAACGTGGAAGGAGAGAGTCAATGCCACAAAGTTATCCTTTGACCTCCACCCACATGCACACCCACACGCACATCATACAACACAATAATAAATGTTGCTTTTCCAAAAAAGGAACTGTATAGGTTGGGATATAATAAAATGACAGAAGGCTTGCCTAGCATATATAAGGTCCTGGCTTACCCCCAGTAGTCTCACTGTGCCATTTAAGAGACCAGAAAAGGGCTCTGCAGAAGGAGACGGTCCTCTATTAGCCTGTCCCTACTGGCCTAGTGGTGTCACAGCCACTTCTGTAGATGTGGAGTTCACACACTGAGATCGTGTGATGACACTCTCCAAAGCACAGGCTGCTGTCACTGTACTTCATTTGAACACAGAACATAAACAGAGCAGTGGGCTGACGTATTTATACTGAAAACCTAACTCCCCCATGAGCAACAACACTTTCTCTGCATTCATCTCCCACCTCTCCGCTTCTGTCCCAGATTTCTTTTCCATTCCATGCCCTTATCACTACATTATGGACTCTTTCATGCCATCTAGTGGAAGTACAAGACAATGAGAAATTAGGGTTTATGAAATCTAGTCAGCCTTGGTGTGGGGCACACATTTATAATTCTATGTAATCCCAGTACTTAGAAGGCACAGTAAGCTGGGCGGTGGTGATGCATGCCTTTAATCCCAGCACTCAGGAGGCAAAGTCAGGCGGATCTCTCACATTCAAGGCCAGTCTGGTCTACAAAGCAAGTTCCAGGACAGCCAGAGCTAAACAGTGAAACCCCATCTCAACCCCCTGCCCCCAGAAAAGAAGGCACAGTAAAAGGACTGCTGCATACTGGTACCAGCCTGGGCTACAAAGCCCATTTCAAAAGAGACACAGACGCATGCACTCATGGAAAGAAAAAGGGCTGGAGAGATGGCTCGGTGGATAAGAGCACTGGCTGTTCTTCCAGAGGACCGGGGTTCAAATCCTTACAGAACTATAGGCAGTGAACTGTTGCTGGGATGTAGCTACAGCCACTGGTAACTTGCCTGTGTCCCTGTAAACCTCCCACCACCACTACCTAAGCTTATGAATGAAACCCTTATTAAGCTCAATGGGACAAAAAGAATAGATATGAGAAAAAATATGAGAACTGTACAGTTTGGTGAAGGAAAATGTGAACAAGTTTAATCTTACCGAAAAGGTAGGTCTCAAAAGCAGCTGTAATTGTTAATGAGATGAGTTCCAATAATACTTACCAATAAGAAGATTTTTTAATCTTCTATAGTCTTCTGTTACATCAAAATCATCACCAGCAAAAATCAACATGGGTTTTGTTCCCTCGGGGCACTTACTAGTCTATGAGATTAAAAGAGAAAAAAGAAAAGAAAAAAAAAAAAAACCACCATAATTATACAATTTCCAAAATCTAAAGAATTTATATGACAATTTTAAGATAGTCAATATGTGTTAAAATAATCAACATTTTACACATACTACCTCACTTATTATTGTTACATCCACAAGTGAGGATCAAGAAAACTACTGATTTGATAAATCGCAAACATCACGTAAATGGCAAGACATGTCTTGAACCCACAGGTCCAATTATGAGGTCACTGTTTGACTCTGAACCTAAGGAAGCTGGAGTTACTGACTGCACAGGGAACTGACTGTCAAAAGCCTTTTTTCAAAGCCAAGGAGAAGGATATTTAGGTTAATTATTCTACTAAACCTTCAAGGTCTATCCCTTTTTTAGAGGAGAGCTAAAGAAATGAGCAATGTGTCCGTTTACCACAATTTAACCACACAGGAGTCTCAGCTCCACTAGCTCAGATGGACCCAGGGGAGCACGCCTGCAGTCCCAGCACTTGTGGAACGTGGAAGCAGGCAGATCAGAAGCTCAAGCTCAGCCTTGGTGACACAGCAAGTCTGCGGCCAGCTGGGGTGATTTAAAACCCTACATCAAAGCAACACACAAAACCCACTAAGGTGTAAAACCTTCATTACAAACAATAGTCTTTCTCTCTAAACTCTTAAACTCCAACCTTGGTTTTTATCTACCATATACATGACTCTAAGGTTAAACAATTAAATTTGGGTTTCGGGCTGGAGAGATGGCTCAGCGGTTAAGAGCACTGGTTGCTCTGCCAGAGGTCCTGAGTTCAATTCCCAGCAACCGCATGCTGGCTCACAACCATCTGTAATGAGATCTGGCGCCTTCTTCTGGCTTGCAGGAATACATGCAGACAGGAAATTGTTTACATAATAAACAAACAAACAAACAAATAAATAAATAAATAGGACAGGAAATTGTATGCATAATGAATGAATGAATGAATGAATGAATAAAATAATAAATTTGGGTTTCAATCACCAAATCTAAACGGAAAACTGGGTTTGGTGTGGTGATGAATGCCTTGAATCCCAGGCCAATCTTTGAGTTCAAGATCAACCTGGTCTACATAGAAAGTTCCAGACAGCCAAAGTCCATAGTGAGCCCTGTCTAAAAAACAAACAGAGACACCACCAGCCAGGGGACACGGCCTTGATCTCACATCTCTAAGATCCACGTGAAATAATGTATCGATGGGACAATCTGAAGTGAACACTCCCTGCCCTTCTCAGGCTCTTTTGGCCAACCTTACTACTTCATGTTTCACAATCCCATTCAAACAAAGCAGGGACACTGCAGGTTCCTGAGGAGGGGTTATGCTAGTATCTCTAAGTAATTCTAATAGCTAAGAGACAAAACAATACAGTGGCAGCCAGAGCTTTCTGGCTGTAGAACAGCACTCAACTGGAAAACTTCGGAGTGTCTGGAAATGTTGCTATCACCTAGGACAGAGAGCATTTACTCCACAGGCCTTACCAGAATTGGTCACCGCTCTCTGAGGTTGAGCTTCTATAAGATCCACATGCACTATATGTTATAAATACATTCCTCCTTTGTTGTTGGTTTTTGGGGGTTTGTTTGTTTGTTTCTTTTTGTTTTTTTGAGACAGGGTTTCTCCCTGGAATTAACAGAGATCCACCTGATTGCCAGGACTAAAGGTATATGCCACCACCTCCTGGCCTACATTCCTCTTTTTAAAATAAAGGTAAAACTTTTTCTGCATGAGGTTCATTTTTTTTTTTTTTTTTGGTTTTTCGAGACAGGGTTTCTCTGTGTAGCTTTGCGCCTTTCCTGGAACTCACTCTGTAGCGCAGGCTGGCCTCGAACTCACAGAGATCCGCCTGGCTCTGCCTCCCGAGTGCTGGGATTAAAGGCGTGCGCCACCACCGCCCGGCGAGGTTCTTTTTCTATAAAATTCTATCAGTACTTCTTTACCACAAGACGCCAGTATTGGCCAAGAACATTATTAAAATGCTATTTAGTTTTATGATCAATAACTTACCTTAATATCTTTCAGAGACACAAATTTCTCAATACCTAGTTCAATCATATCCAGCACATGGTAGTCATACATACGACCTAAAAGGAAATGCATTTTTAAGCACGTAGATTTCCCAAATAGCCACCTTATGTTACCTATATGCTCCAAATGATCTGTGTCTTCTCTGTCTCTCCAAACTCACTCCCTTCTTAAACTCGGACATCTACTTAGTTGCGTGGTTAGGCTATTAGTCATGGAAAAACTCTACACTCTCACGCTGAGCCCAGCTCCTTTACTTTATGGAATGAATGGGGAGCTGGGTGCGGCAGTGAGCACCTACAATTCCAGCACTGGGGAGACAAGAGGACGGAGCTCAAGACCAACCTGGGCTATATAGCAAGACCCAGGCCAGCCTAGGGATAAATAGAAAGACTACTAAAAAGTAATTAACTAAATTAAAAAGAGGTGCAGCTCAGCAATACCAGAAACATTCAGCATACATCAGGCTTGGGATGAAACCTTAACAATAACATCCACCCTCAAAAAACAAGCTATATGAAGACCACACATGGTAAAGGGGTTGCCTATGACTGAGCATGTTAGACAGAAACTCTACATATCAGGGCTGGAGAGACGGCTCAGTAAGTAACAGCACTTCCTGCTCTTCCAGAGGACCTGAGTTTGGTTCCCAGCACCCATGTCATGACTGTCCATAACTCCATGTGGTTTACAAACATACACATAAAATACGTAAATAGGGCCGGGCGGTGGTGGCGCACGCCTTTAATCCCAGCACTCGGGAGGCAGAGCCAGGCGGATCTCTGTGAGTTCGAGGCCAGCCTGGGCTACCAAGCGAGTTCCAGGAAAGGCACAAAGCTACACAGGGAAACCCTGTCTCGAAAAAACAAAAAAAAAAAAAAAAAAAAAAAAAAGTAAATAGATAAACAGAGCACCAGGAACCCACACCTCCTGTTTAAAAGCCAGAACTGCTCTCCAAAGATGTTAGCAATAGTGTTCTAAGATTGCTAACCAAGAACTAGTTCACATTCTTTCTCACTTCCCTGGGCTGGAGGACAATACTGATGTCACTGGTGGATAGGAAGTTTCTGTGGTGATGCTGGGATCCCAAACCTAGCCTTCAAAAAGCTGGGCAAGGGTTCTACCAGAGGTAGACTCCAGTCCAAAAAATTTTATCCAGTGTCACGAAGTTAATGCAGCAACAGAAACTACTTTGAGCTCACTGGTTGACTGTAAACCCTGAAAACATCAGCTAACCAAGTCACGGAGCTGACTCTATGGGTAAAACCATTAAAGAGTTGTGGCACATGCCATTAATTCCAGCACCCGGAGACAAGGAATCTCTGTGAGTTCTAGGCCAGTCAGAGCTACACAATGAGACCTTGTCTCAAACAACAACAACAACAACAACAAAGAATATGATACTCACCTATAACTAGATTATTCGGCCTCTTCTTATTATGGGAGCCAAACATGAATAAAGAACAGTCTGACTTCTTTGAAAAGAACTCCTATAAAGGAAGAAGGAAAGAAAACTCTTGAAGACTCTCAGACTGCCCTGCCTATGCACTCGGCAGGTTGAGGCAGAAACATTGCTCTAAGTTCCAGCCAGCCAAAGCTACACACAAGAGTCTGTCTTCAAACAAACAAACCAGTCTTACCTTTAAGCTTGTAAAGGACACCAGGGGTTTCCCCATCCACCCCTCTCCCACCAGAAGCTAATGAAGATGTAATGAATTAGATAAGTATATACAGAAGGGGCTGGAGAAGTATGCTCAGGTTAAGAGCAATTATTGTTCTTGCAGAGGACCAGGATACAGTTCCCAGAACCCACATGGCAGCTCACAACTATCCTTCACCTTCTTCTGACCTCCGAGGGCACTAGACACACATGTGATGCACATACATGCAGGCAGGCAAAACACTCATACATTAAAAAAAAAAAAACAACTAATCTTAATACATACTTATATGCCAATATAAATATATAGATAGATAGATAGATGGAATCTTACCTTATTTTAGCTTTTAAATCCAAATTTTTCTGATTTGGAGTACTTAGTTAAAAGGCTCACATTTCAAGACTGAAACTACACGGAAGCTGGGGAGTTAATACAGGAAAGGCCACTCATCTCAATTATGCAGTCATTCTGAGGAGCACACCAGGTGTTTCATTTACTGACTATCCCTGAACTCACTTTACCGCACATCTCAGCATGCACAGGGAGCCACAGAGATTTATCAACACACTGGCTTTGGATGTTTGTAACTGGCTCAGGAGTTTTTAATGCCCTTTGCTACTTTCCCAGCAAACTGCAACAAGGTAAGGAAGGGGCTCTAGGATCTCCATGCCCACAGTTTGATTAGAGCCATGTCACGTCTGGGGGAGTGGCTGACAAAGCTATGATAGTCCAGTATAAGAACTGTTTGGGCTGGATGTGGTTGCACACGACTTTAGTGCCAGCACTCAGGAGGCAGAGGCAGGTAGACCTCTGAGTTCAAGGTCAGCCTGGTCTACAGAGCAAGTTCCAGGACAGTCAGGGCTACACAGAGAAAACCTGTCTCAATAAATAAATAAAAATAAAATAAAAGTTTTCCTTGGCTTCCATTACAGATTTGAAAGGAGTAGAAACGTGAAGTTTCAATCCTAGACAGCCCGATGCCGACACTCTACATCCCACACACTTGCCTCAACTTACTGAGGTCACTATTCTAACATAAAAACTAGACAGCCCGATGCCGACACTCTACATCCCACACACTTGCCTCAACTTACTGAGGTCACTATTCTAACATAAAAACTAGACAGCCCGATGCCGACACTCTACATCCCACACACTTGCCTCAACTTACTGAGGTCACTATTCTAACATAAAAACTAGATTCGAAGCCAGGTGTGCGGCACACATTGGAACCCCAGCACTGGTATAGCAGAGACATGCAACTCTAGAGTTCACTGGCTAGTCCTTGAGGCCCAAATGGCGAGCGTCAGGTTCAGTGACAGACCTGTCTCAGACATAAGGCGGAGAGCAAAAGACCCCACCACCTCCGGCTTACAGCACCGCATATGCACAAATTAGACTTAACATGTCCTAGTCCAAAATCAGCTAGAAAACCTTCAAAATTAATGAAAAAGATCAAAGGACAGGGACAATCCTTAAGTTCCCCGTGTCATTCCCCACCCCACCACCCATCCCATGCCACACACATTGGTTATCACTCCCTGAGGGGCGAGCTCCCACTCTGGATATCATTCAGTAAGTTTCTATGCAGAAGCAAGTGGGGCAAAGAGCCACAGCTGCCCATCCACTCCCAGTGTGAAGAAAGGAGTTAGGAAAGTCAAGAACTCAGGCTGGACAGGTGTGAGGGTGCACACTCAGGAGGCAGAGGCAGGTAGATCTCTGTGAGTTCGAGACCAGCCTGGTCTACAGAGTAAGTTCTAGAACACCCAGGGATACATGGAGACCCTTACCTCAAAAATAGATAGATAGATAGATAGATAGATAGATAGATAGAGTGAGTGAATGAATGAATGAATGAATGAATGAATGAATGAATGAATTCAGGCTGTGAACCTTTTCCTGTCCTAGAAATTAACTTTTCTGAGAATTAATTTATCAGAGATAGTAAGTCTTGCAAAGCCCTACCAAGGTCATGAGATGTCATTTGATGGCATTCTACACAGAAGTGCTCAAAAATATTTATGGTCAGGCTACAGATTTGGCTCATCATCAGTCCTGGTGGATTCTAGACCTGAATTCAATTCCCAGCACTCTCATCGGACGGTTTACAACTACCTATAACTTCATCTCCAGGGGATCCAATGCTCTGGCCTCTGCACACATTAGCTCTCATGTGCACAGACCCACACACATATATACATATAATTAAAAATAATAACACTTTAAAATATACATTCTTTTTTTTTGTTTTGTTTTGTTTTTCGAGACAGGGTTTCTCTGTGTAGTTTTGCGCCTTTCCTGGGACTCACTTGGTAGCCCAGGCTGGCCTCGAACTCACAGAGATCCGCCTGGCTCTGCCTCCCGAGTGCTGGGATTAAAGGCGTGCGCCACCACCGCCCGGCTAAAATATACATTCTTAAGATGTGTTCTGTAAAGTCTCCTGACAGGTGTGGTGTGGCATGTCTTTAATACCAGTACTTGTGAAGTAGAGGAAGGAGGGCATCCTCTGTAGATTAAGTTTGAGGGCAGTTTGGGTTTCACGAACCACTGTCCCAAAAATAAATAAATAAACAAACAAACAAACAAATAAATAAATGAGTGCATATTAGGTATTCAAACATCTGAACTGACTATGTTGTTTAATAAGAATATGAAGTTTAGTAAAATTTAAAAATGTATTCAAGCCAAGCATGGTGGCACACCCTGTCATTCCAGCACTTAAAAGATGGGAGACAGGACTTCAAGGCCAGCCTCTGGCTACTAAACCAGCTAAGAAACATAAGGCACTATTTCAAAACAATAGACAAAAATAAAAACATTATGTTTTAAGAGACCAACATCATTGCCATCTTCATCCAATTTATATTGAGGAAGCCCTTTCTCCTTATCTTCCTCTGTTTTTTTCGTTGTTGTTGCTGTTTTCAATTTCCCTAATATAGAGAAAAGACCAATTGCCTTCCCTCTGTATTTTTTTTCTTTTTACATCCAAAATCATCATAGTTTCCATCAAATTCTTCTCTGTTGTGGGATAATCTTTTTGTACACTGTGAAGATGGGTCTCTGCCAAAGTATCTTCTGATTGGTTTAATAAAGAGCTGAATGGCCAATAGCTAGACAGGAGAGGACAGACAGGACTTTTGGGTAGAGACAGGAACTCTGGGAAGAATCTGGAGGAGGGGAAGAACCTAATTAATATAAACGGGTTAATTTAAGTTTTAAGAGTTAGTTGGGAACAAGCCTAAGCTAAGGCCAAGCTTTCATACTTAATAAAAAGTCTCTACATCATTATTTGAGAGCTAGCAGTCCAAAGAAAGTCCAACCACACTTCTGTTTCTAGATACTAATTTTTTTTTTTTTTTGGTTTTTCGAGTCAGGGTTTCTCTGTGTAGTTTTGGTGCCTGTCCTGGCTCTTACTCTGCAGACCAGGCTGGCCTCAAACTCACAGAGATCCACCTGGCTCTGCCTCCCGAGTGCTGGGATTAAAGGCGTGCGCCACCACCGCCCGGCTAGATACTAATTTTTTTTTTTTTTTCATTAAAACTACATTGGAGATGTAGCAGAGTTAGCACTCCTTGCCTGGCATGGACAAAGCCCTTGGCTCTATCCCCAGCACTGCACAGACAGTGGTGGTCCATGCCTGTAATCCCAGCCTGGGGTGGAGACACGAGGGTCAGAAGTTCAAAGTCATCCTTGGCTACACAGAGTTCAAACCACCCTGAAATACATGGGATCCTGACTCAAAAACCAAAACCCAGGCTGGGCAGGGTGGGACTGCCCCTTTAATATCAGCACTTGGAGACAAAGGCAGGTGGAGTCTGAAGTCCGCTTATTCTCCATAGTTCCCGGACAGCCAGAGAGACTGTCTCAAAAACAAGAGTATCTTATGACAGTAATAACAACAGCAGCTCTAGCTTTTAAAAATAGCTGTAGCAGGGGTTGGGAGTTTAGCTCAGTGGTAGAGCGCTTCCAAGGCCCTGGGTTCGGTCCTCAGCTCCGGAAAAAAAAAAAAAAATAGCTGCATCTTTTAAATTCTCGGGTGGGAGAAACTGCTTAGTGGGTAGAGGTGCTTGGTATGAAGCTTGGTAACCTGAGTGTAATTCCCAGAGCCCACAGGGTGAAAGGCTAGAAACACACACACACACACACACACACAATTCATTATACTTTTTTTTTTTGAGACAGTAGTTTTTTTGAGTGTAGTTTTGGTGATGTCCTGAATCTCGCTCTGTAGACCAGGCTGGCTCCCAACTCACAGAGATCCACCTGCCTCTGCCTCTCGAGTGCTGGGATTAAAGGTGTGCACCACCACCACCCGGCTCATTACACTTTTTAAAAAAAAGAATAGTCTTATTTCTCCGTCTGAATATCCAAACTGTCATACATAGAATTTCTAATTTAAGAAGGAAAAGATAACGCATTAGGAGTGCAGCATGAACTAGTATGGAGTCATTTTTACACAGCTCTGTTCTGTTATCTGAGTGCTGCGGGTAGAACCCAGGGCCTCGGGCATGCTAGGCAATCGTGAGCCAGCACCATTACTGCTCACTCCCTCAGCCACACGCCCAGTCCTGCCCATAAGAGCTCTCTTAAAGGAGGAAGATTCTTGTACTTACCAGTGATGTCTGATCCTCAAATGGTCTTGTAATATTTTTCCTAAGAATATGAAAAAGAGTGACTCCAGTTTTAATAATGTTAATAAGTACATTCAGTTAGATGATATAGTGAATAAAGGTAATTATATATTCAAATGATTGCCGGGCGGTGGTGGCGCATGCCTTTAATCCCAGCACTCGGGAGGCAGAGGCAGGTGGATCTCTGTGAGTTCGAGGCCAGCCTGTTCTACAAAGTGAGTTCTAGGACAGTCACGGCTGTTACACAGAGAAATCTTGTCTCAAAAAAACAAAAACAAAAAATTCAAGATGTAACACTGGAGTAGCTGGGTGAAGGACATACAGGAGTTCTAAAAATTCTTACAACTTTCCTGTGCATATGTAATTATTTCAAAATAAGGTATCTACATATTAGTTATGCAAGAATATTCTGAGCCAGACATAGTGGCACACGCCTTTAATTCAAGCACTTAGGTGGCCAATGCAGGAGATCTCTGTGAGTTTGAGGGCAACCTGGTCAAGTTCCAGGACAGCCAAGGCTGTTCCACAGAGAAATCCTGTCTTGAAAAACTAAAAAAAAAAAAAAACCTAAAAAAAAAAAAAAACAAACAACAAAAAAAAACATTCAGTGCAAATACTAACACTTTTTCCTTCCAAATCTTCCATAAAATAATTGTTACTTTTACAAACAAAATAAGTAGTAATAATAATAAACCAACTTACTTTTTATATAGAACTCCATATGGTTTCTTCAGTGCATACTGTAAAACATAATTTTAAACTTTCTCAACAAAACATTCAAAAAGCAGAGTCGTGGCAATCTTCCTGCTTCAGTCATTCAAATGCTGGAATTATATTCATGTGCCATCACATCAGTTGTTTTCAACTGAGTGGTGAGGACAGGATCTCACTATACAGCCCTGGTTGCCTTGACTGAGTTCTGGGCTTACAGGCATGTGGCACCACGTTTAGTGAAACATTTGAGGATTCTCAGCCCAGTGTTTCCCTGTCTTAGTGTAAGGAACACCATTACCTTTTTCTGACAACAAGAATGACCATCATGTAATATCTGTAATACTGTACTTCTCCTAGAACTTCAATGTGTAGCGTCACTTAGAAGGAAAGAGGCTGTTTCCTCCCCCCAATACCACACCACGCAGATAAACATTTCAGAAAAAGATGAGCAAGCCAGGCCGACACACGGTAGCTCACATCTGTAATCCCAGGGCTCAGAAGGTGAAGACACAGGATTGAGAGTTCAAAGGCAAATGATGTGGCTCAGGGGGTATGATGTTGCCAACAAGCCTGATGACCTGAGTTCAACTACTGTAGTCTATGTGGTTAAAGGAAAGGAGGAAAAAATGATAAAGTCAAAACCCTCCATATATTTAAGCTGGGCAAAGTGGCACATGCTTGCAATTCTAGCACTTGGAATGCTGAAGCAGGGGATGGCTAGCTGGAGGCCAGCCTGGGCTACACAAGAAACACTATCTCAAAGGGGGAAAAATTCAGTTATTTAGCTGATTTCATTCAAAGACTCTATCAACTACACACAAGTCTAAATACCCATGTATCTATTAGATATTACCACACACAGTGACTGTCATTCATCAATTTATTGCGTACCTACCAGGTTCAAACACTGTCAGGCTTTGTGGCAAGTATCTTTACCCAATGAGCCATCTTGCCAGCCCAACAAATTAGTTTTTATCTTAACTACTTAAATTAAATGTCCCCTGAACATTATCACCTTTCCCTCCAAACCTGCCCTACCGGACACATTCTCTAAATTGATATTTGATTTTTAAATTATGTTATTTTATATGTATGTGTGCTTGCCTGTATCTATGTATGTGAACCTCATGCTTGCCTGGTACCCAGAGAGACCAGAAGAGGGTGTTGGGTCACCTGGAAACAGGAGTTACAGATGGTTGTGAGCTGCCATGTGGGTGCTAGGACTTGAACCTCTGAACTCTGGAAGAGCAGCCAGTGCTCTTAACAGTTGAGCCATCTTCACAGCCCTCTAAATTGGTATTACTGCTCACTGGGCAACCAAGACAGAAACCTAGGAAGACAGTTCTCACCGATGCCAAAACTTGTACCTCCCATATCTATTCTAACTAGCTCTCAATTTCATTCATTTATTATTAATTGATGTGTTCATTTCTCTGTGGAGCCCTGGATGTCCTGGAACTTGCTCTGTAGACCAGGCTGCCCTTGAACTCAAAGATCTGCCTGCCCCTGCCTCCAGAGTGCTGGGATTAAAGCCATGTGCCACCATGCCCAGCTGTTAATTTCATTCCTACCATCAGACGCTAGATAACCTTTTCCAGCATTTGCTCTCAACCCTCTTTAATAGAAGCAATAAATTGTAGTGACAGGTATAACTCGGTGGTAGCACTTGCCTAGCCTGCACAAAACCCTGGATTCCATTTCTAGCACCATATGCATCACAAGGCTTATCATATCTCTCACTTAAAAAACAAACAAGCAAACAAAAAACCCAGCATTAAAAAAAAAAAAAAAAGACTTCAATGACTCCACAGGCTTCAGAATAACTCCAAATCCATGTTATTGTACACCCCTGCCTCCTTTTCTAGGTTCATGGAGTCCACTTTCCTTTGGCCATCCCAGTTACTTGTGGCTCACCAAGTGGGTCCTGTTTCTTCTCCTCAGTCTTGGAAGCCCCAAACTACTTTTCCTCTTTCATTTCCTCCTTCAAAATGAAGGCTATGTATCATTTCCGGAAAGCCCACCTGTGATCAGATCCCCCCTACGTGATTTTTTTTTTTTTTTTTTTTTTTGCTACATATTATTTCTGGGAAGCCCACCTTGTGTGTAGGTCCCCTCCTCTGTGATTTTTTGGTTTTTGTTAGTCTCGTTAGGCCATACTAGACTTGACTCTGTGTAGACCGAATTTCTGATCCTCTACCTCCCTGCATGTGATTTTTAACTATTTCCCATCCTATGCTGAGCGTACCTCCAGCACAGCACAACTGCACAACACTTACAATGTATGTCTTCTCTGATCTCACTAAAGAATAAGACTGTACTGCTTATTAATTCTCAGAACCTAGAATAACTAGTACTGTTGAAAGAACATAGTAATAAGCAGTTATTTGAGCTTACAAATTAGTTACTAAACTGGGTATAAACAAGGGGCAGGTGAGATGGTTCAGTGATTACTCTAGAGGATCCAGGTTCAAGTCCTAACATCCACATGTAACTTACAACTCTGTAATTCCAGTTCCAGGGGATCTGAAGCCATATCCACATGGTAACTCACAACTGTCTATAATTCCAGTTCCAGGGGATCTGAAGCCATATCCACATGGTAACTCACAACTGTCTATAATTCCAGTTCCAGGGGATCTGAAGTCATACCCACAAGGTAACTCACAACTGTCTGTAATTCCAGTTCCAGGGGATCTGAAGCCATCTTCTAGACTCTAAGGGCACCAGGCACATCAGTGGTGCACAAACATACACATAGGCACAATACCCATACACAATTAAAAACAAATGCCCATAAACCAAACTTTAAGAGATTTGTCAAAGAGTAAGGCAGGATGGCACATGCTTATAATCCCAGCATCCAGGAGGCAGAAGTAAGCCCAGTCTACATAGCAAGTTCCAGGCCAGTCAGGGCTACAATGTGAGACCCTGTCCCAAGGGGAGGCAGGACCCGAATAAATAAAAATTCACTCAGATGACTATTCTTTAAGTACCCTTACAAGTACATTATAAGATAAATAGCTTCCAATTTCACTGTCCTTTCTATTTACCCCTGCCCCTCCCAACTCCAACTCTTCAAGGCTGGATCTTAAGACATCATAATCCTACCAGACCGAGCTCAACTCAGTATGCTCAAAATTTCCTAAATAGTTCAACCTTACTTTAAAAGAATATTCAAAGCCAGCCTGGACTACATAGTGAGAACCTGTGTTTTGCTGGGTTTTTGTTGTTGTTGTTGTTGTTTTAGATTTTGGTTTCTTAAGATAGGGTTTCTCTGTGTAGCCCTGGCTGTCCCTGGAGTCACTCTGTAGACCAGGTTGGCCTTGAACTCGAAGATCTGCCTGCTGGGATTAAAGGCATGTGCCACCATGCATGGCTTTTTTTTTTTTTTTTTTTTTAAAGCAAGTTAACAGGGCTAGAAAGATGACAAGGCATTTCTCTTGCAGAGAGTTCCCACCTTATCAGGAGGCTCACAGTCATCTGTAACTCCTGCTACAGGTGATGCAAGGCCTTTGGCCTCCATGGACACCCACAGATGCACTTAGTTTAAAAATATAGCATTGAGCCGGGCGGTGGTGGCGCACGCCTTTAATCCCAGCACTCGGGAGGCAGAGTCAGGCGGATCTCTGTGAGTTCGAGGCCAGCCTGGGCTACCAAGTGAGTTCCAGGAGAGGCGCAAAGCTACACAGAGAAACCCTGTCTCGAAAAACAAAAAAAAAAAAAAAAAAAAAATATAGCATTGAATATAGTAAGTCACGATACCTACCACATCTCGGAGTACTTGAGTCACGGTTGCATTTGCATTCCCCCCTTTAATCAGCATGGCATTCTTAATGTTTTCACTGAGTTTGGGTTCTCTCTTCTCAAGGAATCGCTTAGCCCTTTTTGTTTTTGGCTTTCTGTTCAAAAAAGCACAATTCATAACAATTTACACATTTTCCTCATATGACACAACTATACGTTGACTGATGACCTAAAAAAAAAAAAAAAATCAACACTCACATCTATCAAGTAGGATTCCATCATTAAATAACAACATAAAAACCCTCACCTTTTCAGGGAGACATTAGCAAAGGTATTTTATCATTACTGGAGCTGATGGATTAAGTTAAGAGCACCTGCTACTCTTGTGGAGGATTAGGTTTGGTTCTTAGCACCCATGTGGAAGATCACAACTGACTGTAACTCCTGTTCCAAAGGATCTGATGTTCTCTTCTGGCCTCTGTGGGCACTGCATGCAACCAGGGAATACAAAGCTAGCATTCACTCACACACACACACACACACACACACACACACACACACACACACACATAAACTAAATTTAAAAAATGAAATGATCCAAGTAAACAGTTATTTTTAACTTATTACATTTCTTCATGGTGACTTATGCTTGTAATTATAGCTCTTTAAAAATCAGGCAACTCAGACTAGAGAAGCAATATGCCCAAGGTCTGGTGTGTAGACCAATGTTACAAAATGAACTAAATGTAAGAACCCATCTACAACTCCCATTACAAAAAAACAAAAAAAACAAAAAAAACAAAAAAAAAAAAACAGCCGGGCGGTGGTGGCGCACGCCTTTAATCCCAGCACTCAGGAGGCAGAGCCAGATGGATCTCTGTGAGTTCGAGGCCAGCCTGGGCTACCAAGTGAGTTCCAGGAGAGGCGCAAAGCTACACAGAGAAACCCTGTCTCGGGGGGGAAAAAAAAAACAACCCACAAAACCACACCTAATTTATTATTCTGTTTTTATGATGGGGCACTAATCGGATGCTATTATACATTTCTGTTTAGAAGAAAGAATTCAACTTTGCCTCCTCTATGGTAAACATGGTACTTTTCTGCCATATATTAACAAAATGCCTCCTCTCCTAATTAACTATAACCCTCCATCTTCCAGTCTTGGGACAGGTAGGGAGGGAAAAGAAAAACCACATACATACACTTTAGTTTCCCACACAGAATTTAAAAAATTCTTCTCCAATGAAATACCACGTGTAAAACCACGTAGTTGGCATTTACTGGTCGCTCAAGTTGCATTTTTCATTGAATCAAATCAAGGCACGCACTGTGTTTACACAGCACTAACTGCTATACACTCTGTAGTCCACGTCTTTTTTCAATCTCACTAAACAGTAATCAATGTAAACTTCAGCTTACTTGCTTTATCAGTGAGGCACAGTGGTACACAAAATCTATTGACTAAAAAGAAACTTTCGTTTACATTGCACCCTTTACTTAAAAAGCAGAAAACTGAGCCGGGCGGTGGTGGCACACACCTTTAAGCCTAGCACTCCGGAGGAAGAGGCAGGTGGATCTCTGTGAGTTCGCGGCCAGTCTATCTACAGAGCGAGTTCCAGGACATCCAGGGCTACACAGAGAAACCCTGTCTCGAAAAGCGGGGCGGGGGAGCGGCAGGAAACTGTAACAACCAATGCAGCAACATTTGGGAACTCAAATATTTTTGAACAAACGTAACCATCACTCAGCGATAGGCCGAAGTGTACAGATTTGGGCGGAAAAGAAAAATGAAAACTTTGTACCTGTTATGGCAACACTGCTCCCTACAGTTCCATGACACAAGAGTGTCACGACAGCTATGTCACAGGATAAACTGATGGAGGGCGGGTTAAAGGTTCACAGTCACTAAACTCTGAGCCCCGTTTCTTCCGTCCACCGCCACTCTCGCACTTCAGAACCCATCAGCGGCGGGGCCCCAAGCCGACCACGGCTCTGGCCCTCGCTCCACCCACCCCACAGCTCGCCGCCAGCCTCAAGGCTTCAGCGGCAGGGACACGGGCTGGAGAATCCGCCAGCTCCTTCCCAAAGCGCGTCCGTCCGGAGGGCGCAATTCCGGGACGAGACCGCGGCAGAGGCAACGTCCCAGTCACGGGAGACTCGCTCCCACGCCATCGCGCCCCACACACACTTACATGACTTTATCCAAGGCGTCCATCACTACCAGACCCCTAGCAAACACACGTGCGCCGCGCACTTCCGCAAAGCCGCCGCTAGCGCCGGAAGATGCCGGACCGGAAATGCGAAACAGGACTTCCCGAGACAGGCCTGCGGTCCTCGCTGGCGGCCATCTTGGGAGGGCATAGCGTTCTGTTCCCTTGGTAACGGAACGTTGTTTTGGCTGTTTTCTGGAAAGTAAACACTTTGGAGTCGATTTTGGGGGGAACCAATTGTTCCTCTTCAGGGGAAGTAACCAGAATGCTAGAAAGGTTGGAGGCATGGTACTCTTACAAAAAATAGTGGCATGAAAAGGACATTATTGGCTTAACTGCGAGATCAGTTGAGGCCGGTTGATAACCCAGTTGCTTTCTACAGAAAAGATATACAGAGAATACTGCTGATTGTGATTAGCCCTCAAGTTTTAGTCATATAATTTGCATATAGTTATATAAAATGCACCTTTTAATGTGTACAATTCAGTGGTTTTGGGTGCATCCACAAAGCAGGTGAACCCCAGCACAGCCTTGTAAACCAGTAATTCAGCATTGGTGGAATGTAGGGCAGGACTGAAAGTTGACCAGCCTAGGCTCCACAGTGAGATGTCACAAACACACACACACATCAAAGAGCTCAACTCTGGGGTGTAGGCCTGGCATTTCAGTACTTTGGAAATGAAGGCAAGAGGATCAGGCTATGTAGGGCTCTAGATACCAGCCTGGTCTACAGGAGACCTGTTTCAAGAAAGAAAAAAAAGTGCAACCATAATCACTATTAATTTCAATATACTTTTATTACTTCAAAGAGCTCACCTACCCATCCACCCAATGGCACTGTCAGTCCTTAATCCAGTTTCATGGAGTTGCCTATTCTGACTATACAGAGTATGAACTGATTATCTCAGTGTGCTCTCTTACGTCTGAGTTTAACTTACTAGGTTTTGGGTTTTGTTTTGAGACAGGGTTTTCCTACATTGTTTTGTCTGGCCTGTAACTTGCTATGTAGACCACAAGAATCTTGAATTCACAGTGATCTTCCTGTTTCTGCATCTTGAGTGACAGAAACGTGTGGAGTTTGCCACCACACCATTTTTTGTTCTTTTGGTTTTTTGAGACAAGATTTCTCTATGTAGCCTTGGCTGTTCTGGAACTTGCTCTGTAGACCAGGCTGGCCTTGAACTCAAGAGATCCGCCTGCCTCTGCCTCCCGAGTGCTGGGATTAAAGGCATGAGCCACCACTACCTGGCACCTAATTTACTGTATTAAGGTCTGTGTGTTTGTGTGTTCTGTTTTAGAGGGAGGATCTTGGAATGCGGCCAAAGCTGGAGTAGAGCTATTGCCCACGCTGATATGAAACTTATGCTGCTGCCTTTCCCTGTAGACAGTCGAGATTAAATGCATATCCTGCCATGATTAAAAGCGTGGCCTGCCATTCCAGGAAGTGTATCTTTTGCATATTGGAATAAATGATGGCAGGAGGGTAGCTTCTAAATAGATTAAGGATAAGGACTGGCTGGAGCTCTCCAGGCTGTCTCAGTGGTACAGCACTTTATATAACACAAGGCCCTAGGCTCAAACTACTGCACTAAATTGAAGAAAAAACACTGGAGCTTTCAACCTCACTTTGACTTACCATCAGGAATGGTAAAGGGACTGGAGTTATGATGCGGCCAGTTACCAACCATGCTTAATAATGAAGCCTCCATAAAAGCTCCAGAGAACAGTACTTTGTGAGTTTCTGTCTTGATAGGTGGAGGTGCTGGGAGAGTGGCTTTGAGAGGAGATGGAACACCTGATTTGGCTCTATGCAGTCTCTCCATCTGGCTGTTTCCCAAGAGGATCAGTTAGAGGTCATCCTCAATACACAACAAGTTCAAGGTCAGACTGGACTATATAGACACTATCTCAAAATAAATAAGCAATAAATCTAGTAAACAAACTTTCCAGGTCCTTTTCTAAATTCTATGAGCTATTTTAACAGCAAGCGGTTGAAAGTGAGAAAAGGATTGTGGGAACATCCAATTTGTAGCTAAGTCCTAAGTTGTAGGTAACTTGGGGAACTCACTCTTGAGATTGGCATGTAAAGATGAGATGGGGCAATCCCATGGGACTGAGCCATTAACCGGTGAGATCTGACATTAGGTCCAGGTTGACAGCATCAGAACTGCATTACGATGGAGGACATTGAATAGGTGTCCTCCAGGGAACTAATCTGTGATGGGAACTCCACACATCTGAAGTAAAAAGTGAAGTACTGAGGGGAGCAAGATTAGAAGAAACAGTTGAGCTTTCCTCCAGGGGCATAACCAGCTCGTTTTAAAAGGCAAAATGAAAAAAGAAAACCCAACAAACAAAAAAGGACAGAATCTGTTAATATTTCACAGCTTCTAGTCTTGGGAGAAACAATGGGTTTTGGTTTCTTGTCCCTCTTTTTAGGGGACAGGATCTCACACTGTAACCTAGCCTGGCCTCAAACTTGCACAATCCTCCTGCTTCAGCCTCCTAAGTGCTGAGGTGATAGGCAGAAGCCACCAAGCAGGGATTTTTTGTTCTTTTGCTAACTCCGGACCTGTTTTAGACTTCTATCTTAATTAACAATAGACTATCAGAATGGTTTTTTTTCGCTCTTCAGTCTGGCCTCAGACTCAGAGATCCATCTGTCTCTGCCTCCCAAGTGCTGGGATTAAATGTAGGGAAAAGGGGCTGGCTAAAGAAACTCAGTGAGATCAGAGCCTTCTCTGCCCCTGGCCAACTGACTTATGAAACCAACCAATCACAGAGTAGCACCCTGCCCGCCCCTCCCCCCAGGCTCAGTGAGATCAGAGCCATCTCAGCCCCTAGCCAACTGACTTGTGAAACCAACCAATCACAGAGCAAGACAGTAGCACCCTGGCCCTGGGGCCCAGGACCAGGGAAAGAAACACAGCTTGAGTCTGGGACCTGAGCCAGAGAAATGAACACTTTATCCCCAAACCCAGAACCAAGGAAACATGCCCTGACTCTGAAACTAGTACCAAAGTAACACTCTTGGTCCCTAGAATCAGAGTCAGTGAAAGAAATGTGCCCTGGCCTTAGAGGCAGTGTCAAAAAGTCAAGAAAGGCCAGTGAAAGAAACAGTTTGGCTCTGAAATCAGGGCCATCTCTGTCCCTAGCCCACAAAACTGGCCAATCCCTGGGCAGAAGAAAACTAACCAATCACTGGTTGACTCTGCCCCCAAGAAATCCTATATAAACCGCCCTGCCTGGTCAGTTGTGGGCTGTTCTCTCCACCCTAGTAGAGGCAGCTAGTTTCCTGAACTCCTCCTTCCCAAGTTAATCTCTTTTGAGTTTTGGGTGTGAAGATCTTCATTCACCGTAGAGAAGATCCTTGCTGAGACGTCCCTCAGTGGACAGAGCAAGAGAGAGCTGAAAAAGTAACGCTTTTCTCTGAGCCAGAGGAGATTGCTACATTTCTGCAGGGGTTTCCGCTTTTGCAGAGTGAAGCAAAAGAAGCAACATCTTAGGCCGGAGAAGCAGAGCTCTGCTAGGAAGCCCCCTTAAGAGGGGGCTGAGCAAAATTCAGCTGCAGCAGCTCTCCAGGAGAGGAGCAGGATTGCTCTATCCTGCGGGGAGACCATCCCCCACCACACCAGGTGTAGCCTGACTCCCTTACAGTCAGGATACCCTTCCCCTGCTGAAGCAGTTCCAGACCTGACTCCTGAGCAGTCAGAAAAACTTCCAGGGCTGAGCTGTCTCTGCAGCTCCAGCCGTCAGAGCTGTCCTAAGTAGCTCCAGGTGTTGCCTGACTCCCCAAGTAGTCAGGACACCTTTCCCCAGAGTTACAAAACTTATATTGTTGGTGCCAAAACCGACCAAACCCACAGAGCTGCAACAAATTTACTAAAGGTGGTACTCCACCACCACGCAGCTCAAAAAGATTTTTTATCCTTTCATATCATTCATTGGCTGCCAACTACAATATATAATTTTGTAAAAAGTAAAACTGAGAGTGTAACATCAAATTTAAAAATAACCATGGCTGGGCTGAAGAGATGGCTCAATGAGTATAGGTGCTTCTTGCCAAGCCTGGCAATCTGAGGCCAGCAGTTAAGAGTGCTTGTTGCTCTCCCAGAGAACCTGAGTTTGGTTCCCAGCACTGACATCAGGTGGCTCACACCCACGTGAGTTACACACACACACACTGCATGTATGTGCTTTTTTGGAGACCCACTGTGTCTCCCTGGCTGGACAAAACTATATAGACCAGGCTGGCACTTAATTCAGAGATCTGCCTGTAACACCACGCCCTGACCAGGTCATCTTTCTGATGGCTATTTTCCTCCCTTGGTGGTACTGAAGATTCAACCTAGGGCCTCAAGCATGCTGGGCAAGTGCTCTACCAGTAAGCTACAATCTTAGTCCTTATATAGGTATTTTGACAGCCTCATTAAGCCCAAGTATCCAGGCTTAACTTGAACTCACTTTGCAACCATGAAGTCTTGCTTCTGCCTCCCAAGTAGCTGAGATTACAGGTCACCATACCAGGCTTCCAAAAGCCTATGACTTTGTTTCAAGACTTAAAAAAACAAAACTATGTGCATGTGTGTTTGTGTGTGTGTATGAACATATAATGCAAGTGTCCAAGGAGTTCAAAAGAAGCTTTGCATCTCCCAGAGCTGGAGTTATAGGCAGTTGTGAACTGCCTGATATGCGTGCTGAGAACTGAACCTGGGTCCCCTGCAAGAGCACCATGCACTCTTGAG